ATAGTAGGGGTGCAAGGAGCAAAGCAGGGGAAAACGCCAAACAGGGATGCCAGCTGGTAGAGGGAAGCCAAAAAGGCACAGGGATCCAATAGCAAGCGCAGGGAATAGGATCCCAGGGGTAGTCAGAGACACAAGGGGTACGGAACAAGGCAAAAGACTTGTTGCTCGCACCAAGAGCAACAAGTGAGGAAGTCCTAAATAGGGGAGAAGGAGAGCAGATTGGCTGCAGCCTTGTGAGACACTATAGGCTGACAGCCCAGAAACAGGGAGCAAAGCGAAAATCTGGCATGGATTTCTGGATATTGTGACATTGACCAGCCAACCAAACTTGGCCAGAGTGGACAGGAGGATCTCCCTGTGCCGCAACAACCCGGCTTCATCGCTGGACAACAGCAAAATATCGTCCAAGTAGTGGTAGACACGCAAGCCTTGTTCTCGAAGAGGAGCCAGGACGGCAATCAGTACCTTTGTGAATGTCCTGGGAAAGGTGGACAGGCCGAACGGTAGACTCACAAACTGCAGATGTAGGTCGCCGATTGCAAACCTCAAGTATTTTTTCAAATGAGGGAAGAATGGGAAAATCCTGTAGGTCTACCGATAGCATCCAGTCCCCCGGGCGCATAGGCTGTATAATGGTTTGAAGTGATTCCATCTTGAATCTTTGGATATGCATATTCAGCCGTATTAGATCGATTACCGGCCTCCAATCGCCAGTTTTTTTCCGCATCCGAAAGAGTGGTGAATAAAACCCCCCAGAACCTTTCTGAGTGAGGAACTGGAGACACAGCACCTTGTTGCAATAGAGAATGGATATAGTGTAGGAGCGACTCACTCCGCCTGGGGCGAAGTTGGAATTCTTGTGGGTGAAAACGAATCTTGTGGGGGGTCTCGACTTGAAGGTCCAGTAATGGCCGTGGTTGACCGTTGACACTACCCACGGATCTCCGCACAACTCTGTCCAAATGTGCGCAAATCGATGAAGCCTGGCCCTTACTGCGCCCGGTTGGGCATGTAATCCATCAAAAGGGCTTGGCAGAATCAGAAGAAGTCAGCACAGGCTTCTGCCTCTCGTCGCATGAAGGTAGCCTGGGTGCCCTTCCATCCTCTCTTTTGGTCCTTTCCTTGGCCAAAGGGCCCCGAAGCGTTAAACCTTGTTTGTCTAGCAAAAAATCCCTTCTGGCGTCTAGCTTTGCGATCCTGCGGAATTAACCCTGACTTCCTGCCAGTCACCCGCAAGATGGCTGTCTCCAGTTTTTCTCCAAAGAGGGACTTCCCATCATAAGGGATTTTGCCACCCCTGTTTGGAGGATGGTTCCACGAACCAGGGTTTTAGACAAAGAGCTCGCTCAGCAGTGACGGAATGCAACATAGACCGAGCAGAACATCTGATAACATCTATAGCGGCCCTGCCCACGAAGTCCGCTTTCAGCTTGAATTCGGCCAAGGCCTTTATAATGTCATCTTTTGGGACATCCTGTTGTATGGCTGCCTCTAAATTCTCGATCCAACAAGAGAGTGCTCTGGATATGAAGGTGAGGGCCACAGTCGGTTTTCTTGTGGTTTTGGTCAATTCGTCTGTCAAGAATATCCTTGAAGGAAGCAAAGTCCTCTATGGGGAGGGTGGCATTCTTCGCCAAGCGCATCATCATGGAACATTTGTAAACATGCTGCCACAGTAAGTGAAATAGCTGTAGTCTTGCAGTTCAGAGAATGTACTCATTCATGTAATGGGTAACCAGACATTTTTTAACTGCAGGCAATTGGGAAGTTCTGATATTGTCATGCAAGAGTGTCAGATAGGGTTGCCACCTGTCCAGGATTCACCCGGACAGTCCGGGTTTTGAATGCTGTGTCCGGGTTTCATGGCAGTAGAAACCCGGACACAAGATGTCAGGCAGACAGGGGCAACCAAAATTAAGATAGGAGCTACTGGCCCCCCACTGAAAATAGTCTCAACTGTGATGATTACATATGAATGAGTGGCGATATTTACATATGAATAAGTCACGACTCATTCTCCCAAAAAAACGTCCACACGTCGCTAGAGTGTTCGGGTTTCGCTTGAAGAAAAGGTGGCAACCCTAGTGTCAGACCTGCCCTAATTGACTGGCTTGAAAAGTGATTCAGGCCCACATATTGTATTGTAACATGCCGTCCCAACCCACCATGTGTCCCCATTTCACTTGATGGCTAATCTACCCTGTTAAAAATTACACTGAAAGCGCTCAGCTCTGATCACTTCCAGGTTGAGTGATGTCATTCCCTGGCCTTCATGGCTGAAGAAAGCGAATTTAGCTTTAAAAGCGTGCAGTGTTAACATTAGGTGTCTAAGAGACCCCTGAGGTTTCCTTAAAGGAGAACTCTGGGCAGAAACAAAATTAACCTGTGAGGTGGGGCTAGCCCCACACTGCAAGGGTTAACTGCTCATTTTGATCTAGGGTACTGTCTTTCACCCTGGTCAGCAATTGGTTCAGGATCCGGAGGCAGCAGGACTGCAACTTCTCCGAGAGGCAGTCCAAGAGGTGAGCCAGACGGCAGCCACCCACTGCTACTGTATTCCGCTCTGCCATTATTACCGCTGCTGCTGAGGAAACTTTTTCTGCACCTTTTTTTTTTTTTCCTGGCAGAGTCAATCATGTACTCACAGAGGATGGAAGGCAGCTCGAAGCATTGCATTGAGCAGGCTCGCTGTGTTTTGAAACCTGATTCTGGGCTCGGGTTTTATTCAGATGATGAGAGGAGATGGACGCCTCCTGTGCCGGGGTGCTCTGATCCTTGTTGGTGTGGTTGTGGCTTTCATGCTGGTGACTTCTGCAGGGAGGGTTGTTGGATTTAATCAGTTGGTTAGTTGAGTGGTGTATTTTTATGAAAGTGTGTGATATGTGTGTGATAGGAGTGTGTGTGTGTGAGATAGGAGTGTGTGTAATGTGTGTGTGTGAGATATGAGTGTGTGTAATGTGTGTGATATGAGTGTGTGTGAGTCTTGTGAGTTTGTGGTGTGTGTGTTTATGAATGTATGATTATATGTGTGTGATTATATGTGTTTGTATCTGTGAGCCTAAGGCAGTGATGCTGAACGGCTTGTAAACCTCTCTTGCCAGGCACGTTGCCTGATTCTCCTATTCTTGTAGTTGGCATGTCTCATGTCATAGAGACATGGTCTCGCCTGCACAAGGCGTATGAATGCCTCAGAATCCAGCAGGCCACATGCACTAGAAGAATCCTCCATCTTGTTCAGCTTCTTCACCCAACAACTTTGCAGATGGGAGTGGTCTGTAGCCATGTGCGGAACGCTCGTTCTATGCGCGATTTCTGCTACCAAAACGCGCAAACACTCATTTCAGCCCGTTCCCGCCGAAGTCTATGGGCGCGAATGCGCTACAAAACGGCCCAATACGCCGCAAAGAAGCTCCTGTACCTTTTCAGGCGTGGGCCGTTCGGACGGGCGGAAATACGGCAAGGTGTGAACCAGACCCATTGAATACAATGGGATTTAGATGGTTGAGCGTTTTGTAAAGCGTTCATCGAGCATTGGACGTGTTACAAAACGTTCAGGTGTGAACCAGGCCTAAATGGTATTTACAATTTTGCAGTTAAATGTGAGAAAACCCCTCTTTATGTTTTTTATGTGTTCCCATTCAAACAGCATAACAAAAGATGGCTGAATCAAGCCTTTTTCTGAGCACCTTCCCAGTGATCTGTCCTTATAGAAAGACATAGGACAGAAATTTGAGGATTAAGACAGGCAGTGTTCAAATCTACTTTATAAATTATAATAAACAAACCCCTCACAACCCCTGCTAACATTAAAAAGGAAGGGAAGCAAGTAGAGATTTTAATCCTCAAAAAGCCAGGTAGAAACCCTAAACACAAGTAAAAGCAATTTAAAATTGCAAGAAGCTTTTTCTCTGTTTTTTTTTTCCACTTAAGCAATGTGAATGGGAACATGTAACAAATATAAAATAGGTATCATCCCCATTTGGTGGAGTGGAAATACACTTTAAATGTTACAAGAAATTGGGTATTATATTGTGTTTGCGTGAACTAAAATTAATATGACTGTCATTTTTACGGAAAATATGGGTTTGATAAACAGCTGCGCTTATTTCAGGTGAAATTAAAACTTCAACTGAGACCATTTTATTCTACTTGGCTGTTCTAGTCTCTACTTTCAGAAAACATACAATGGGGGGGAAACGGGAGCAGACAAAATCTGGAGCAATTACGAATCAGCTTCCCTCTTTCATTTTCAAAGCTTAAAAGAGGACTATGTAGTAACCTTTTTATCCCATGGTTCTCCTTAGGGTCATGGGAGGACATATACTAACGCCCTCCCGTGACTCAAAGCTCAGTATATAGCAAGCTATTGCGAGCGATATACCGAGAGCGCCGCACCGGGAAGGATTCCGACAATACTGTCGAGTTCCACCCTGGCTGATTAACAGTGGACTCTGCCTATTTAGAGGCAGAGCCAGCTGTGCCCACCCACTCCTGTTCCTCCAATCAGCGCTGGAGGATCGGAGAGGGGAATCCCTGCAGGGGTATGATCGGGAAGGGAGCGAGCGACATGTGTTCGCTGACTTCCTGATCAATAGAGCCGACGTGTGACAGATTCAATGTCACACGTCGGCTCCAACTATGGGAATGAGTGTAATTCACATCATTCTCCTTTAACTGAACAAACTGAAGAGAGAAGCTGATTGGTTGCCATAACGAAACTGCTCGAGTTTTATGAATTCCCCTCAATGTCTTGGGGATTTGAAGTAATCTTCAAGCATAGAATGAGCATTTTAACAAGAATGAGCATTTTAACGTGTGCAAAAATGAAAAAAAGTATTTGGTTCAAACCAGTAATCCATGGAAACTGATGCGCTTTTTTAAAATCAGTTTAAAGTGGCCATAAACCAAGAAATAGGTCACTGTATTCTTCACCCCAAGGTAAAGCTACTAAAATCGCAAACTAGACTAGAAAGCGATTAATCAGATTACAAAGCACTCACCCACTCTGCCTTCTTTGTCCTGTCCAGCGCTTGGCGCATAACCAACTCTCTTACTACGGCTCTCACGCCGCTTAGCCCCGGTAACTGTGGCAACCGCTATTTTTTGATGCAGCGGACCTCCACCAATTCTGGATTCTCAATGATTAAAATCATCACAAATTACTTTTATTTAAGTACTTATGCTATATTCTCACCAAAGCAGACGCTGTAAACCACAATATGCAAAATAAGCCGATCAGTTCAATCTGTACTTGTCTGTTGTTGATTAAGTTTTTCAACGAAAAAAATCGTACCGCTCCTCCTTTTCCGCCCCTGCTGTCAGCAGGAACGTCTCCGGAAGTATTCTGGGTTGGACGTTACGTTCCTTTGGTGCCTCCCGCTCTAACAGTTGCTACCGAGGGAAAATGGCGCCCTTGGATCTAGATAAGTACGTGGAAATCGCTCGTCAATGCAAATATCTACCCGAAAACGATTTAAAGGTGAGAGGCTACAGGCTCTTGTTCTATGAAACCACCATCTCGGAGCAATAACTTCGATCAGTGTTGTATAATTATTAGTATTTTTTGTACTCAAGGATGCATGATCGATTGGCTAGATATGAGCCCTCGACATGCACAGTCATTATTGTAGAACAGCTTAATATAAAGATGAATACACTATGCTGCGTTGTTGTGAATATTTACATTTATTTTAAAGGGAGGTTCTGGGATCTGATATTCAAGTGAAGAATGAGTTCCTCTTTAAAAATGCTAGATTGCAGACTGTCTCTTTATGTAAACACTAGTGCTAATGGCAGCCTCCGTACGTTCTCTGTGCGGGTTACCTTTTAAATGTGTATACAACCTACATTTTATTTTGTATAGATTAGGGAATGGTTAAAATTAAATCCATTTGTATGTCACTCAGTAGAGACATTTCCTTCACTTCCTGTCTTGTAGGTATAAGAAAAGTATAAAGTAAATGAGGAACATATTCTCTTTGAGTAGGAATATGTTGCCATATGAAAACTTGCCCTATATTCCTGTTTTGGTAACGATGCAATTTTGGGTTTTCTTTCACTTTTAAGGCTTTTTCACACGATCAGATACAGACCCAAACTTTTTTTTGGGGGGGCGGCGGCGGTCTAGTCCTAAAAAACGCATACCCATTACTTACTCTGGTAAAAAGCGAGGCTAGTTCACACCATTGTGTTCAGTTTCAGAACGTTTATAAAAAGTATGCATGCACTATTTGTTTTCTGCTTTGGAAAACACAAATGCATGCAAACGCACTAGAAATTCAATTGAGACAAAATGTGCTGAAACGCATAAAAAAAAAGCACATACCTGCATTTCCAGAAATGCATCCAAATCTGGTCTGGAGATAGTGTGAACAAGCCCTTTGTGACAATGATCATCAGCACAGAGTGGATGAATCTCCCTATTTTGGACTCTGACAGCAATAAAAAAAATAATTTAAAAGACTGACACGTTCTAACCCCTCTCCACTTTGTCCAAAACTAAAAAAAAAGGCCTTGGAAACACTGTATACATCTCCATACCGCATTATTGTATAAAAAAAATAAGGTGTTGGACCTGTATTTCTGGAGCATTGATTTTAAACAGTCAGTCCTGCAGAAAACACACACATGGCTGTCATTAGGAAGTTAAGATAACTGGCACAATGTACAGAGCCAATCAGAGAGGTTCTGTACCTTTTGACAGTCAATCACAATGTAGACTACATTTGAATGCACTCCCAGAACGGAAGGAGTATTTGGAAATAAAGAAGTCGTAAGTGTGATAGTTTTTTAACTCCCTACCCCCCCATTCCTCATACATCTCATCTTCATCCTGTCTTTGTAGTAACCTGTATAATACGTCAGAGGAATTTAGCATCTTTGTCTGTGAAAGGAAATATCCATTTTAAATTAGCTGGGAAGAACTAGCATTTTGGGGGATCATTAGTGATGGCATCTTTTGAAGTTTGATGTGCTGGAAAAACACAAATGACTCTTACTGATTCCCTTTCTACATAGTCAACAGGTACAGTAAATTAAGGAAAGACCAGTTTTCTCTAAGGACACTAATGCCTGCCATCTGGATCATGTAGTCAGGGTCTTTACCATCAGGAGTCTTCGTCAGCTTCATTAGGTGAAGTTAAATGAGAACTATGAGGTGAGTGATTTCCACTCATCCTCATAGTTTAGAGCCGACCTGTGACAAAGAAGCTGTCATAGGTCAGCTCTATCGATCAGGAAGTGAGCAAAAACATGCACCTATGAGCTCACTTCCCAATCGTCTCCCTGCAGTGAGTGGTGAATGTCAGTCACCACTCCCCGCAGGGGTACCCCTCTCCGATCCTGCAGTGCTGAGTGGAGGAACGAACAGGGGAGGGGGCAAGCACAGTTGGCTCTGCCTTTAGATAGGCAGAGCCAGTTGTCACTAACGCAGCTGGGTGGATCATGACAGTATTGTCCTCCCCGTGACCCTAAAGTGAACTATGGGGAAAAACCCTTACCCCGTAGTCCTTTTAAGCCTGTCACCTGGTCATTAGAGGCTTTTCCTGGAGTCACTCAAAACCTTGTGACCCAATTCCCCACAAATACTGCCCGCAGAAGCGCTAAGCTCACCCAGGGCCATCCCCTACAGAGTCTACAGATTCAGAATACCTTCAAACTATTTCTGTAGAAAATGGTGTTGAGCCACAGTAGTTTCCTGCCGTCACCTCAGATTTACAAGGCCTTAATACAGTGTATACTACCCTGCATTTGGTGGGTCAGCAGGCTTTTTCCAGCCTTGAGTCTTTCAAAGCTCCTGTACAGGCAAAAACCTTTCCTGTATGGCAACTATTCCAGGCATTTCTTTTTTGTGGATTGGAACCACCTTGAAAGAGCTTGGTCCCTTCCTGAGAATATGTGGTACAGTCCCTCAATGAAGGGACTTCGAGAAGGTGGTTCCAGCTTCACCTTGCGCTATGTCCTCTGCAAAGGATGTCACAGAAAGAGCGGCAGTGGTGGTGATAATAGGTGCTTCTGGCACCAGTATTGCTCAGGTAAGTGGAGAGTGTTATTGTTTTTCTCTATACCTGGGCTCTGATAGACTTTGGTGAGTTTTATTCTGTTCTCCCCAGTCATCTTCCAAGACAGCCAATGGGAGAGAGGTCTCCACCTGCCTGAAACAGGAAACACATTATCCACATTAGATAAAGACACTCCTACAAACCCACCTCAGTTTTTGTTTGGAGAAACATTGCAACGTTTATTGTTTTACTTCAGGCCATTATGCAAATTGCAGGGGCCTCCCATGCTATGCGGTCTCAGAACCAGGGACAGTGGATCCTGGAAATTGGCATAGCTGGGCTTCCGGATCGGACCCCCACCTGATTATTGGCAAAGGTTTCCTTCCACAATTGAAGGGTCGGCAACCATCCTCTGTGGCGTGAGTGACTCCAAATGGAGATCCCCCTGTGTGTGTGTCTCACAATAACGTGTTATTGTCCTGCTCCCCGCAAGGGGTGCCCCCCTCCCAATCGGCTCCCACTTCACTGGCTCAGTGTATCCCTATGTGCTTTATTCCCTTTTCCCCCTGGAGGCCTGGGGATCCTGACTGACCTGGGCCCCCCATGGCAGTTGTGAGGAGGATCCGGGTCTCTCTGGCTTCCGCACATTGCTTTTGCTGGCGGGATTTGGTCCCCCTAAAAGTGGGCTTACTGTGCGGGGCCCGCTGGGGGAATAAGGAGGCATTGATTCGGCCAGGTGCCTGTCTTCTGGGAGCAATGGCGGCGGAGTTCAGGTGGAAGTGATGTCACAGGCGCACTTTCGGTGTGTCACTTCCGGTTTTCGGCTCGAGGAACTGGGCGTGCGTTCCAAGCTGGTTCGCATGCTCAGTGATTTGAGGAGCAAATGGAGGGAGTCATGGCAGCTACAAACGCTCGGTCGCGCTACAGGACGTTGGGACACATCGTTATACCTGACTGGGTCCACATTCACCATGCCTTCAGACGCTGGACCACAGCCTGCCTCTCCTGATCTGGGGGACTTGGGCACTGGCGCAAAGGTAGGCGAGTTTTTATTGGGGAAATTCTCTCCTGCCTATCCCTGCTTGTGTTGGGGGGAGGGGGGGTGCCTGCTTTGGCTGGCCAAGCGGGAAGCTCTCTGCACTATATCCAGGTTCTGTGGATTTCTTATTCTCCACAGGTCAAAGCCCCTGATAAGTCCCTTGCTCCAGCTACTACTTCGCACCCAAAGGATAGAAGATGCGCCTCTTGCAACCTCAAGCTGTCGTCGTCATCTTGGTCAGAGCCCTTGTGCAAAGGATGTGTAGAGAAGCTGGTATCCAAAGAGTCAGCTGGGATTTATAAGGGCGTTATGCATACCATGAGGGAGGCAATGGTCTCTACATTTCAGTCTTTCCGGTCTGTAATTTAGAGCACATGGTCTATTTTAGGGGGGCAAAGCAATCCGGGTCCCTCAGGTGAGGGTTGCTCGGGTGTCTATCATTGGTTCGGCCACATCTGGAGTATGCGGTCGTTTTGGTCACCGATACTCAGAAAAGATGTCCTTGAGCTGGAAAATGTCCAACGGAGGGCAACAAAACTCATGAAGGGGTTCGAGGACCTGAATTATGAAACAAAGTTGTTAAAATTAAATATATTCTCTTTGGAGGTTAGGAGATTAAGGGGGACGTGATTTTCTTGTATAAACTGTTCAATGGTGACAGCAACACTATTAACAAACTCTTTACGGTTAGCTCCGTAACAAAGACCAGAGGGCACCACCAAAAATTGGTGGAAAAAAATTTCAACACACAGGGCGCAAGGGGTTCTTCACAGTTAGAGCGGTTAAGGTCTGGAACTCGCTGCCGCAGGAAGTGATTTCAGCTAAGAGTGTGGAATCATTCAAGAAACTCCTGGACGAGTTCCTCAGAGACCATAACATACTGGGGTACAAGTACTCCTAAGAGCTAAATCACACATGGACTCATACACACGCACACACCAGCTCAAACATAAATGCATACGTGCAATAGGTTGGACTT